ATTATAGCAATCTATAGTTATGATAAGTAATTAAATAATATAAATTTGCTTAACCGCATAATTTTCTCTTTATTTAAACCAACTAATTTAATTAATCCTCTATATGCTCATTAACTCAATTAATACAATTTTCCATCTATAAAGAGCTTAGATGTACAAGAACATCTATATGACAATTATCAGTGATTGCAATATTTCTACCTATAACCCAATTATATATTTTTTGTTTTCAAGTGTTCCGTCTACTTCACAATATAAGGAATGATGTTTGTTACATTCATTTTCAACTATCACATTGTTTTAATGTTCTGGACTTGTTATATTACGATTCGAGCTAGCTTACACCTAGACGTGATTGGTACTCGATAATCATTATTGGTCTCAAACGAATCCACATCTTGGCTGATTACAAGCGAAAGACTAATTCAAGCATACAAAAACATTAAACTGAAAAAAACATTTAACAACAATTTACTGAATCTCAAAACTTTCTGCATATACTTAATATGAAACATAAATTTCCAATAAGATATTTGAAACTGAAAGATTTTTTCAAAATTGTTTGTCTATAAAGCATCTAATGTATAAAGATAGTGTCAGGACAAGACTCACTCATCTCGAAATGCTACTACTAAAAACTCATAAAAACTGGAGTCTTCGAAAATAAAAAGGCCTCACTCAAAAGCTGAGCGGATGAAATGATCTCCTGTTGAGGATCTTAAGATCCTGAATCTACATAATAAAAAGTTGCAGGTCGAACAACATCAGTATATTGAATGTACGAGTATGTAATCTAGTTGAATAACAAATAACTGAGTGAAAATTCCGAAGGTAAATCAATTGAAATATAGTATAAATCATGATGAAAAATCATTTAAGCTCTTGCAGCAAGGATGCAATAATGACAAACACTGAACTGAAATATACTTTACTTTATCGAAGAATTTCTCTAACCGACAACCATTACTATGAGCCTCGTGATGATATGATTTGTCAAAACTACTTTATACTTTGTCCTTCATTGTCTTTCCTGCTCTTTTTAGTTATCGTGTAATATTCACGCCTTTACTTCATATATATTTTGAAACCCTCTGAATGAAAATTAGTTTTTATGGCTCCATATCCGATCCGCTACGCTGAAATAATTAATTCAGATCAGAATATCCTTTCTTAACTATCAATACCAAAAAAATTCAACCGTATGAAACTGATTTTGATAGTTTTATAGCGATGGTGGGACATTTCTCCGTGTATGGAATATGTTAGAGGTTTTAATATCATTGATATGAAGCCAAAACATATGAACATCTTGCTAGTAATTCTGCCTCTTATAATTTGGACCATATAATATGATATGGTCTAATATATAAGGAATTTAGGCCAAACACTTTACAAAAATTGTTTTAATTTATAGGTAAAAATGAGAAATTTTAATAGTTGAATTGGTTGGTTATCTGAATTCTCACCTTTAATTTCGAATCATATTTTTAGGAATTAAAATGAGATATACTCTTGTAAAAGAGAGATTGACGTATCTAAAACTTACTTAGGATTCACTTTTCGTATAATTAAAATAGATGTTTGTCCTCGTCTCACAAAAATACATATCAAACAATTAATTATGAAGTTCGACCCCTTTTTTTTCTTGTCTATATTTGTGGGTCTCAAATTAAAAAAAAATTCTTTTGTAATTATGATATATGTAGTAATAAATTATTGGGTAGAGAATATTCACAAGCATAGAAACGTGTAAACATTTTTTTTTCTTATAGGAGTGTGAACTTCAATAATGAAGACATATTTCCGGAAAAATAAATATCATCGCTATTAATAAAGATTTGATTCCCAACAAATTTTTAACGTTGATAGTACAATTAAATGTAAATTTACGAGTCTATTTAATACTTTAACAGTACGGACTCCGGAGTATCAATCAAGACACCCACGTGCAGTTTCTTCATTTTTATTAGCTTTATTTTAAGTAAGTACAATTAAATGCAAAATAATGAGTATATTTTGAGTCACTTTATTATTAATAACTTTTATCGATAATAAACATACATATTACTTTTTTTTATTTTAAAATAAATAAATTATTGTACCTTTTTTTCGTACTTTCTCTATTTTATACTTAGCTTATCACTTTTCTTTTTATATAGTGCTTAAAAAACTATAAATAGGAAGATTATTTTACTAATTTACCTCTTAAATTTTTTTTCTGAATTTTATAAACAAAAGAGTAAACACTTTTAATAAGAATTAACTGTAAGTATAGAAAATTTTTAATTAATACTTTTTTTGATATTGTGTTTGAGTAGAAACGTGCTTTTTGTGTACCTATGATATATGTACTAATAAATTATTGGGTAGAGAACAGTAACATGTGAAGAAACGTGTGAACTTTAATAATGAAGAAGACACGTCTCCTAAAAAATAAATAGACATAATACATATTCTTTAACTTGGCTTCAGATCACATTTATGTCCTTCAGTTTTAGATGTGCATAAGTAGACACTTTAACTTGTATAAAGTTGAACAAATAGACATACATATCTTGCATGACATTCATCGTTGTTAATAAAATTGCATACATTCACAAGCATCTCGTGACGAGTGAATCACACCTAAGTGCGTTTTTTTCTTCCGTTTATTTTATTAGATATAAAATAATTATATTGGTACCTTAAGATAAAATAAAATAAGTGCTTAGTGTTTTAAAACCCATGTGGCATATACTTTCTTTGGTTAATAACAGTTGTTCATTAACTTGATACAACAATTAAGAATAGTAAACGGTATAGTAATTTTATTGAAGGATAAAATTGGAACGACACTCTAAAAGTAATTTTGATAATTGAATAATTAAATTAATTTTAAAAATAAAAATATTTTAAAAAATTCAATTAGTATGAAATAAAGAAAATATTTTTTAAAAAGTGTGTTATATTAATAGCGAACAAAAAATAAAAATAAATAAATTATGATGGACGGAGAGAGGGCATATCAATTTAGCATAGCATGACGTTCACACTCATTAGTTTATTCTTTGATTTCATTAAACAAGTAATGCTATTACTCACATGTATATTACTCCAGAGTATCAAGCTAAGACACCCACATGCATTTTCTTTATTTTCTTTATTCATGTCTTATTAGGTTAATTAAGTAGTACAATTAAATGCAAAATAATGAATCTACTTTTTTTTATACTTATTAGTTTATCACTTTTCATTTTGCATGATGCTTAAAAAATTATAAATAAGAAGATCATTTTACTAGTTTATCCTTTAAAAATCATTTATGAAATTTATAAATATATGTGGACAGTTTTAATAAGAATTAACTGTAAGAGTAATATAGAAAAATTTTAATTAATACTTTCTTGATTTAGTAAGGTGGTCAATTAATATTAAACAACTAAATTTTTTTTTGTATAATGATCAATTAATATGAGACGGAAGGAGTAGTTCAAAGTATAAAATTGTTTAAAGTTCAAGAATTACATTTTAAGTGAAAGAGTTAAACTTAATGTTATAGATCTTTAAAGCTCTTTGTAATTGAACCCATAATAATATTTTTGAAATTTTAACAGCTTATCAAAAAAGTGTTATTTCTAGGTTGCATCTGCCTCTGTTAAGTACTGGCAGGGGCGGATTTCGATGTACGGGTTGGGGTGCCACAACACCAAGTGTTTTCGGAAAAAACAATTCAATACACATGTATATATGTATATTAATTAAATATACATTACCTTGTCCACCTAGTGACTATACAATAGAATAGCCCCATTGGCAAAGGAGAGGATCTACCACCTCGTCACCCCGGGTTTGAACATTAGCAACAACATTTAATTTTTTTTTGCTTGCTCCTTTTCTTTTTTATTCTTCTCTTTTTCTCCATTCATTCTTATATTTATTAACTATTCTTTATTAATTCAAATTGACCATTTTTCATAATTTTTTTTTTACTTTCTCTAGCACTAAGTATTAATCCATTGATTTGACTGTAGTGTGTTTATTTTTGTTTTATCAATTAGTGAGTACTGAATTATGAGCGTCAAATAAATATTACTAAAAATATATTTAAATAATAGTTTTTAGAAAATACATAAGTTTCAAAAATGTTTTTTCTAAAATTTAAAGGTTCTTTCGATCTTCACCGACGTTTTTGCTAAGTAAGATGAATAGGCTAAAAGTATAATTTTTATTATTTCCCAACTATATATCTCCAACAACTCATAAAGTCAACGCAAGATGAATATATTATGTTAATATTATTAGCTGGTTTATACAAGCTCAAATATTAACGTGACTTTTTTTTCTCTCAAAGTTTCAGCGAATAAGACATTTAATTCCAAAAAGAAAATAAAAATTAAATTGTTTAGTTATTTCTGATCACATAATATCTAAAAGAAAATATTACTATAGGCACATTTGATCGACTTGTAACCCAAAATTAAAGCAACCAGTCTTTTTATCTTACTTAAATGTTGTGGCACCCCGACCTTCAAATCCTAGATCCGCCTCTGATTACAGTAACTAGTAGTTTCGATTTTTGATTTGGAGTAGTATCTTATGGTACTGCAACTGGCAAGGGGCTCTTCATAAGCTATCTAAATATTCTTTCAATATATTAGTTTGAAATTGCTATCCAAGAACCGATAAACCTCAAATCCTAGCTCCAAATTGTCTCTGATTAGGATTCTATTTACTCAACAGGACATTGGTAAATGATATATATAGACTCTACCTTCTTGCGATCCCTACTATAAGATTACAATGGATATATTAATAGTATTATAAACTTGAATAGATTGAAGCAATGTTAATTACTTAAGAAAGCTAAAATAAAAGAGGAGATCAAGGAAAAGAACGAGACAATGAGCATATATATATATATATATATATATATAAGCACTAATAATAACTTGCAACGAATGCTAAGGAGTAAAAAGAAGAATGGACGCAGTAATACTATATGTGGACAAATTAAAAAAGAATTATTTGGGAAATTAAGCTTGTAATTAATAAAATAGCGATATGTTAATCTCACAATCATACAAAATTAATGATTGGAAACAAATTAATCATAGAAAACAAGCAGCATAGGTAGCTGATCCAAGTTTTAGGTAGAATTGGTGGTAACAAGATAGGTAGGTGTGGATAACATATCAAATCCATTGAACTTTGTTCCAACACATTTTGAATATGCACCCATGTTATAGAACACTATCAAATCATCCAACTGAAGCTCCGGCAATTTTATGTCCTCAGCCACTTTATCAAGGCAGTCACAACTTGGTCCGTAAATGGTCGACTCGCGTATTTCACAACTTTCTTTCGTTGAAATTGGTTTGATGCCCACAAAGCAACTGTTGTACAGTGTTGGCCTAAACGATCCATAAACCCCCTCATCAATCCAATATTCTATTTTGTCTCCTCTAACTCTTTTGCCAATCACATGGGTAACCAAAGTAAAAGCAGTTTCAGGAAAGAAACGCCCAGGCTCTGCAATTATTTTCAAATTAGGGTCGGGGAAAAATTCTTGGACTGCTTCGTTTACTACAGTAGCTATTTCCTCGAACAATGGGGTAGATCTAAATCCACCACCAATGTCTAGAATTTGCATTTTAGGAATTCCAAGATAATGAGCTATATCAAACACGGCCCTGGCATTGGCAATCGCTTGGCGATAAATGGTGGGATCTTGTGCTATAGATCCAACGTGAAATGTAACGCCTACAACTTTTAAACCAGCCACATTACAAGCGTAATGCAGGAGTGGTTCAATTTCTTCCGGCAATGCTCCGAATTTTTTCCCCAGGGGACGCAAGGAACCGCTAGCACTAGGGGCTTTGATCCGGAGCAGTAAATGGCACTGTGGGTGCCATTTTTTGATCTTGTCAACTTCGAGCTTAGAATCAAAAGTAGTGAGATTGACCCCAACAGCAGCTGCATGCTTGATGTGGGAAACAGCCTTGCAAGGGTTAGCAAAAATGATTTGATTTGGGCTTATTCCGAGATTTAAGACGGTGTCAATCTCGAGTAAGCTAGCACAATCAAAATTAGCACCCAAATTGGCTAGTTTAGTAACAAGTGCTGGTTCAGTGTTGCATTTGACAGCATAAAAAGGTTTTACATTTGGAAAAGAATGGTTCCATTTGTCCATAAGCCTCTCAATTATCGCTAAATCCAGTACATAAAATGGTTGCCCAGCTTCATGCGTTTCTGCTGCAATCGAACGGATTAAGTTTGTCATCCCATCTTTTGCTACAACAGTAATTTTAGACATCTTGATAAACAAATATAATGCTTTGATGTATAAAAGCTAGCTAGTGTTTTTAACTTGATGATATGAAAATAGGCTTCCTACCTCTCCTTTATATACAATAATGTCAATCTCTAAAGTATCTTGACCAACTATTAAAGATTATTTTACTAAGTATCACATGGGGATTGATTCAATCGCACCTTAGTGGAATAATATTTATTCATTTTTGGTCAAGTTAGGTGATCAGATGCACATTTTCGTATTTTTAGACACCAAATAATGATTTTGATACGTTAGAAGATACGGAACTTTCTTCTTTTGAAACAGAATCAAAATAAAGCATGTGCTTAATTTTTTAAACTAATATTGATTAAGCCTACGTTCACATTCATCAAGGTAAGTAATACAAATAAAGGCAAAACAATTAGTCTATTTCTCATTTATAACCTTCTTTCTTTTTTAATATGTTTTAATCATCATTATTTTTATGTTAAAAATCATGAGATTTAAAAAAAATCTATTTATAAATTTTGCATTAATTTAAAATAAGTCAAACTAATTGAAATAGACGACAATCAAGACATCCCGCTGCACTTTCTTCATTCATGTCTCAGTGAAAAAGGTTTAAAATATATCCGAATTTTGATCGAAATTGATATAACAATCAGAAACTTTTGAAAGGACCTATTTCTTCTGCATTATTCAATACTGTATTTTAAATATATATAGATGTTCACGTATATATCATGAATATTTCATCATTATAAATAGTAACTTATCGGGCACTTGTATATTCTTAAAATACATTATTAAATAGTCCAGGGAGATAACAGGTTTTGTTCAAAGTTTGAGATTGACAAATTATTATAACAATTTCTATCAAAATTTAAATATATTTCAGATATTTTTCCCTCTCGTAAATATATATTCGTTGTCGGTAATACTACAATATTGTTTTTGGACCTTTTCTATTGTCGTTACTCGTTGGAGTTAGCGTGTTTTCTTCACCACCTTTTATTCAACAATTTTTGCTATTTTAAAAATAAACGAAAAAAAAAAGAAAAAAGTCGAATATGACGGAGCAGCATTTAATTTGATACTGTACGTATATTTTATTTTTTTTCTAAAAAAACAGAGGTAACATGCTGCATGCCCAGCTTGCTATATATGTATAAAAAAGGTGTTTAATAATGAATTATTATGATATAAATTTTGAATAATTTTTTTTAAATGCACTAGTATCCCCTCAGCCTATGTCCGAAATTTTAGAGATACACTATACTATAGTAAGGTCCTATTACCTCTGAATTTATTTTATAAAATTTTTTTACTTCTTTTCGACCTACGAGGTACTAGCTTGAAGAAAAATGTCAACACGCATTGGGTTCACAAGATAGTGTCACGTAGACCAAAAAGGGGTAGAAAATTATTTATAAAATAAATTCAGGGGTAATAAGATTTTAGTATAGTATAAGTGTGCCTCTGAGATTGTTGAAGGGGTATTTGTGCATTTTTCCAATAATTTTTTATAATATTCACAAATAATTTGTTTGATCTAACATCATTAGAGACAGATGAGTGATTGATCGATTGTTAGGCTGCTCCATGTAGGGACGAGCATTACTGCAGTATGGTAATGTATCAAAGAACTTTGGTTCAGTAATTTGTGGTCTTTTTTCTTACTATATAATCATAGTAACAAATTAATTTGATTTTTTAAGTTCAGTTTCCCTATTTTGAAGTATGGTAAATTATTAATCATAGTTTATTCGATTTCAGTTTATATTATATTTATATAATAGAGAATTATGACTTCAACTTTTTAAAAAATATTTCACGTAAAACCATTAAACATGTAGAAATATTTTTTAAAAAAGTACAAGTAAGTTTATATATATATATATATATATCAATGGTTATATGCTAGATGCCACAATATTATAATTATAGTATTAAAATTATTGATATCAAAATAATTATTGTATTTGATATCTATCGTATCATTCTCACCTGGCTATCAGCATTATGGGCAAGTATATATTATGTGAGGTTGCTATTTCTGTAAGAAGAAATGGATGGATGATGATTCGTGATTTTTGTTCCTCGTGAATCATGATTAAAAAAAAATCATTTAATTTTATTTGTTAAATTTGAACGTTACACTTTTATTTAGAAAATAATAATTGTCCTAATTATTTTATCACATTAATTCTATTAATTAATGTTAGTATTAAGCCTTTGAAAAATGTTTTGGAGAATAAATAATTAACGGTAAGAGTTAGAAAAAAATAAATGTATTTTCTTAATATTATTAAAAGTGAAAGTAAAAATAAAATTCTGTTCTTGCAATGATGAACAAGTACAGCATATTTATTTATATTAATAACAATTTTTATGACTTTTAAATTTATATATATATATATATATATATATATATATATGGGTTTTTTTTAATTTAGAAATCATTTCACATGAGTTACAGTCTCAAAAGTTTTTAATTTTTCCTGCATCATCACATAAATTATGATGAAGGAAATAATTGGCAAAATTATTTGGATATTGTTTTTCTTTTGGAAGATTTTGTTAATTCATGTATGGGTAATGATCGACTGCTAGGCTGCCCCATGTAGGGAAGAGCATGATACGATTTGTTAATGATGTATCATAAATTTTGGATCGGTTTTTCTCAAAAGGTTTTTCTTTCGTAAACTTTGTGTATTAAGTATAACTATATAACAATAAATTGGGACAGAAGGAGTAATACGTAACATGTAGCCTGTAGGTGAGCTGATAGACAATATTTTTTACATTGTCAATATACTAAGCTTTAAGGAAAAATGATATTAACATATGGTATAAGTGCAATGCAACCATAATGCCTGGTAACTTTTATTAATGTAATTGATCATCAGTACAAGAATAGTGTTAACATTCAATTGAACCAGAAATAGGCTTGAGTTTTCTTACTTTGATGATTTTTTCCTTTTATTTCATTGACATTTTGAGAACTTGTTAATTAATTTTTCGATCATTCAACTATACGATACAATTTCACCATAGCATAAACGATGATTGAAGCAGAAACACATAGGCAAATCCAATGGGTAGCTTGCTTCGCGATTTCTGTTGTTGATGTTGTAGTAGTATCAACCTGCTTCTCTTCTTCTTTTTGTTCTGTTCTCTGAAATGCAATTCTGTTTTGTATACAAGAATCAAGATACTTGTATTAGGGAAAAAAAACACATTTTAAGTAGCAGAGGCGGATCCAAGATTTTAACTTAATGTCGTCACTCTTTAAAGATCTTCGTAATTGAACACATTGTACTTTTGAGATTATGAGTTCAAAATTTAATATTTTTCTTAGTTTAAACAGTTTATTATTACTATATATGTAAGGCTGCATCTGTCTCTGTTAGGTAGTGAATAAAGTTAAATGGTATGTGGCGAATGAAACTTACGTTGGTAATGTTGGAAGTTCTGCTACAGCTGTTGGAACAGGAACTGGTAGCTTTTGTTCTTGGGATGGAATAGTATCTAATGGTGCAACTGGCAAGGGCTCTTCATATGGGATCGGAACGTTATTAGCCTGTGAATTGCGTAAGTAACATAGTCAATATGTGTGTTTTTTTTTGGTTCCATTTTTGTGGATCTTAGAAAGTGTAATCAACATTTATAACTTACCAATTTCCTGAAGAGAGGATTGTAAAACATCTCAAAATATCTCTGTTTAGCCTGCTTTTGCCCCACGTTGAATCGCCTCCAGAATCCGTAGATTGATCCCATGTTCAACACTTTGTTAGCGTAAATCTTCCATGTATAACTGCATCGAAGCAATATATATAAAACATCATGGAGGAAACAAGATGATAAGATTTTTTTATCTTTGCTAGTTTATTACCATTCCTCAATGCGCTTGAGACCACCTTCCGATATCCTATTCCAATATATAGAATCAACCTGGCATTTCTCAAAGAAATCAGCTATTTTATTGCTCGACTCGTCCCCATTGTAAGGATCAATATGGAAGCCTGAAACCCCATCAACGATGATTTCTGCAGGCCCGCCTTGATTTGTAGCAAATGTAGGCAATCCACAGTTCATTGCTTCAATAACGGTGAGTCCAAATGCTTCGTATAAAGCTGGTTGAACGAAAGCTCCCTTGGTGTCCGCGATAGTTCTATATAGCTCACTGTTTCTATATTTATCTGTTTGAGCTGCTATCCATCTCATTTGTCCCTTGAGATTGTATTTCTCAATCAATTCATGCATCTTCTTGATTTCAGCTGCCTCCTCTCGATCTTTTGATTTTGATGGATCGAAGAATCCACCAACAATAACTAGGTTTACCAGGTTCTGCAACTTCTTGTTCTTCCCAAACCACTCAGTCAAGCCGGTTAGATTCTTCACTGAATCAAATCTCGCCATGGAAAATATAATCGGTCTTCTCCTGTCTGCAAGAAATCCACTGTTCCACAAAAACATCTCCGATAAATACCAAATATCCGGTATAAGCAATGGAATAGGCTTAGACTAGGAAAATGAGGCTTTTAGGCTTACATGTGCTCATTGTTTTCCTCTTTACTGTAAAGTAATTCCTCAATAGCAGGACCAAATTTAACGAATCGTTTCTTTCTCTCAGTGAAGGGGAAATAGGCAGACTGTTCAGCCCCAGGAGAAGCAATGTTGAACTTTGGGTCAAAGACATTGATACCTGAAACAACTCTGTAAAGCCCTGGCATTGTAAATGCTGTGTGGCTTTCATATTGTCCAGGCCTTGTCTCGCTGAAGTAGGAAAGTTGCCGCTTTTAGTGATCGTTAAGTTACCTAAAAATACCGAAAGAGATGGTGCTAACCTTCCAGCAATTTCTTGATATGTGCTGGTGATGATAAAATCAGCAGCATTCATTGCCAATAAATCAGCAGTAAATTGGCAAGAAAAGTGGTACTTGGGATCGAATTCTTTCAACTTGACATCGGAATCTTCATACTTTGTTTTCTCTAATGCATGAGCAATGGTTCCCTAAAGTTTTATCATTTTATAAGATCTTTCCGTTTAATCATCAAGAAAATAATGCAGCAAAAGTGATCAATTATGGAACCTGAGTTACTCCAAGCTTGTTGGCCAATAGAGATGCCACTAAGTTTCCATCAGTGTAGTTTCCAATTATGAGGTCTGGTTTACCTTCCATGAGCTCAAGTATCTTAACGGTGGCATCCTGAAGAAATATGTGACAATTCAAACTGGTTAGCTCAAAATACGGAATAAAATATATGAATAGGTGAAAGGTTCTTCCAGAACACTTGCCTTGGCGTAGTTCTCCAAGTAAGGATAGATATCAAACCGAGAAACCCATTGGCGAAGAACTCCTTTCTCAGTCCTGAATGGGATTCTCAGGATGTGTGAATGGGATGAGTTTAGTATAGGCTCCAATTCCTGATTGCATGTTGTCCCTCGAGCATCTGGTATGAGGCGAGTGACCTACATACATCACGGAAGCAAGAATCAATGATCTCCATTATCTTAATCTCCTCACTGATCTTCAAAACTTTGCATAACTTACCACAAGAATCTTGGGCTTCATGTTTAAGCCTTGCTGCTTGATTCTTGATAACATTTCCTCCTCTAAAGCTCTTACTTGATCCAGAATATAAACAACCTGTTAAATACATATCTGATGTCAACAATGCAAGTGTCGATAAAGGTACCAGAGGGGAAAGGAAATCAATTATCGTGTAATGTAGACCTGGCCTCCAGTATCGGGCAAACCAAGAACATCTGCTTGACCAAAGTAACCATGAATGGAGAAGATAACAATGTTGAATGTAGTAGGAAGCCTGCTGAAAAAGGATTCCATATTTATGGGATCCGGAGCTTGGAGTATCTCAGACGCCAGTCTCATTGTCTCTCTTACTCTTCCGGCACTGTCTCCCCATCCTTTCTCAAAGCCCCATTCTTTGAGCCTAGATTTTTCATAAACATAAAGAATCAAAAGGCAGCATATTCTTGGTAAATCGCGTATCATAATGGAAGCATATGAGAAGCTTACTTATGCTCAAAGTTCTTATACGGTGTGTCTTTGGAGAACGAAGATACAAAAACTTCAGCTACTATAAGTGCTGCTTGAAGCTTAGAGACACTATTTAGATTCTCATTGATCATTAGATTCTGCAAAGTTTCAATATTTACATCTCATTGATATCATTCCTCAAGAGGAAAGAAAGTGTAACTTTCCATTTTCATACCTCTCCTTGATGATTAAGAGCTAGTAAGTAATCAAGCAAAGGTTGAGCTTCCTCTGGCTTTCCACCAAGCTTTGAAGACATAACTTTTGAGACGAAGTTAAGCCCATTTCCAACAGAAGAAGAAAGGGCTAGTCGAGGATTGGAGTAGTCAAAAGCACCAAAATCTACTTCTAGTGCATTATCATCCTTTGCCCTGATTACACATTTAACCATCAAACATAATCTTGAATGTTACAAAAGTGTGGCTTTACAATGATACAATTCTCTCCTTACCATTCCTCATCAAAGATCATTTCTTTGAATTTGAGATATTCTTTGGGTGAAATAGCTTCCACGGAGAGATTGTCCGCGTTAACTTTGACATAATCCCAGCAACCAGGATTGTGCCTTACAGCAAAAGCAACATAAGGTGGCACAACAGCTGCCTCCTGAAAATTTCAAAGAAAATCATTAGGCCTTGTAGTCAAATCTTATTTTTCTTTTTTCAATTATGTTGGTGAATGGTGCTGACCTGTGTGGAACTCAGAGTTTGTCCAAGTGAACCTTCCAAGACCTTGGTTCTTTCTGCCTTGTCTTCAATAGTATTTTCTATATCTTCCATTAAATATTTCAATTTCATCAGCCTACTTCCCGTAGCAATGAACCTTTGACATCCAATGAAGAAGAAAAAAAATAACAAACTAGTTAGCATTCGGCATAAACGCATAGAGTGCAGAAAAAGGAACAAGAAGGGGGTGGTCACCTAGCGAAACATCTCTTCATATGATATCGGCTTTGTTTCAAAGCATCAGGCATGCTATCAGCGACTGGTGTAGTAGCCATTATGATTTCAAGTTCAACGAAGAAAGTAGGTTGAAACTTGCTGTGGGGGTCCTTGATGCTTTGAGTTGTGACAAATGATGGTTGCAAAATGCTTTATATAAGGAAAGGGTTGAATGAAAAGAGAAAGTAAAACACATGGAAAAGGGAATATGATATGAGCCAATTAGGGAGTGTAGAAGCCAAGAAAAAGAGATTCCATGGTGCCAAAAGTGGCAAGAAGAAAGATGGAGACAATAAGTAAAGAATTCCCTCTTCGTATAACATCAAATCTTTTGGTTTTGTCCAATATTTCCTTTTTTCATCGACTTGTCTTTGCTGAGATTTATTCTTTTCCTAGTTTACGTACAAACCTTCACCTGCCACCTACTCTTCTCTTTCACGTAGTGGCCTAGCGTATGCCATATCTCAAGTCTTACTAGGTATAACAGTGATATTAATATGTTTGAGTTTTATATTGCAGTTGAAACTAGAGCTGAAACAACAGTTAAAGAACAAAACAATAGAGTATTGGAAGCCAAAACGAAAGCACCCACTAGATCCACCTATATAATTCCACGAACATCGTAAAATAGTTAAACTCGATGATCAGAACACTTAGATTCATAAGTTATCACAACATCATTTAATATTCAGTTGGAAGGAAGGGGGGACTGAACAGCTGAAGTAAAGTCGTACATGAAAGTACGACCCAAATTGGACCATATTAAAAACAAGCATAAATTTGCATAGTATTCATCATTACACAGGCTATGAAGAACACCGGAATGCTCCCAACAGTTATAATAATGCGCAATACTACAAACTCTAAATAGTTTTCTGGCATCAATGTCACAAATATTAGGGCAAGTCGAACCAGATAAAATTTTGTTTGATCGCAAAACACAAAAACCAAAAGGGCATGCGCCAAATGAAGTCTTCAATGAAGCTTTTGTTTGTTGAGACTCTAGCAATAGAACATGACCCTCTTCACGTTATCCTTGAGAGCAGGAAGAGGTCTAACAGCAGAACCTGCACCTGGTGCTCGTGTATTCTTTCCAGCAGCTCCTGCACCAACCCCTCTGCCAGCAGCTCCGCTTGTTACTGATCCACCGTCTGATGTCTCAGGCTCCATATAGAAACGAGCACGAAAAGCTGCCAAATGTGCATAATAGGCCGGAGGGACTGACAGGAATAAAACTATATTATTCACTAAAGACAAACAAGTCATTGCTGGGAGAAGTAAATAAAAAAAGGAGACTAAAAATAAACTGGCTAGAAATCTATAAACAAGTGCAAGGGCATACCAATGGAGACTGAGCGTGTGCACCTTGCATATCTAAAAAGAGGAACACATGAAGAGAATCAGTATGAGTTGAGTAGGAACATTTCCAGAACAAACCTGGTAAATTCAGAAGTACACTTACGTATAGCACAGGTTGTTTGTCAATGACTGCAGTCCATCAGCTGAAAACTTGTTCTCGTCCCATAGAACATGGTAATGAGCTGGACGACTCGTACCCTACAGAATCAAAACATCTGTTACACTACAGCTCGCCTAGACTTCGACCACATCATGGTCAAACATGATACAAAACTTTCACCTGTATGCCAGCATGACTACAAAGATAGAAATCAAACTCTGTTGGGTGGCAAATCTTCGAATCAACAACAGTACCTGTACGGTTATGTTTTCAAAATAAGATTCAAAATCAAGTACAAGATGTCCAAAGTAGGAAGTTAGAAAAACAATTACCAGGTATAATGTTCCCGCTCCGATCAACAGCATTTCTATCACGGTGGTTGTTAGCAAAAAGTCTAGTATGATGACGTTTCTGAACCACAACAAATGTAACTGGAGGCTGATAATTTGGCTCCAATGATGCACATGCCTGAGATTCAGCTCAAGTCAATTCAATACTTGTTAGAGATAAAAGTAGAAAAAAGGAAATGAGCAACATCTAGAACTAAGAAAAAGACTAGTATCAATAACAAAAAGGAACATACCTTACGTATGGCATCAAGTTCATAAAGAAGAACTTGATAAAATTGCCCTTCACTAACACCATCCCTGAAGGAGAAAGTAATAAGTTAAGCCAAAGGAGAAGTAATTCATACTGCACTTGTCAGGGCAATATATCACAATACCTGTAGAAAATGATTCTCTGAGGTTTTTGCCCAGTAGCTCTTCGGAAGGAGATAAGTAAGTCCCTGAATAATCAGAAATAAGAAAACATGAAGACGAAAAGTTAGAATATCATAAAACGAATTTGATCCTCCCGCAAAAACCAAAGGGAGACACAAACAGCTAAAAACTCAGGTAAACAGAAATATTAGAAAAAATAAAGCAATAAAATTATCATACTTAATCATGCCGCCGGACACAGTCCCTTTAACAGGATCTTGCCTAGTTGTGTACAGATCCTGAATAAGCTCTTGCCTATGGGCTTGAGCAGAAACTAGACCAGCATACTTAGTAATCTCAGGCCAATCTTGAGAAGCAACCACCTGCAAAGACAAATTATTTCACATTCCTCAAAAGATTTGGTCAACACACTGAAAATCAAAGTGTTCAACCATCCTACCGCAGCAATGGATGGGCTAGAGTCCTCTCCAGGGTGGGGATGGGTGACATCTGCACCAAAAATGATTGTAGGACGGTCGCTGACAAGGGGAATTCGCCTAGATATTGCATCAACTAGCACAGTGTTTCTTCCTCCCACCTTAACATTAATTTTCAGTGCTACATTGGCTAGATACTGTTTGCTCATCTTAAATACATGTTTTGTCAAACAGCACTGTGAAACAACTCCAAGGTCAGTCTCACAAATCCGTTTCAGATCACCTGGTCAAGAATAAAAAATTTCAGCCACTGCATAATCCAATATTCTGCTATAGAACATAAGATGTCTATCTCCTTTATACCATAAAGAGAGCCATTATTGTCTGGCAAGATAGCGACCAGGAGATCAAGCTCCTTCGATAGCGGCTGCAGCTTTGTCATGGCATCATGAAATCGAGTTTTCAAAACTCTCTCAACCTGATCAGGGCGTGCACTTACAGGAGGCAGAACAGGATTCGGGTTGAAGTTCTAAAAAACATCAAATATTAAGTTAAAGACCGAGTACATACAAAGAAAAAAAAGGGCTGCAACATGCGTACTTACCATTCCAGATATTCCACACATTTGTGCAAGCTCAGAACAAAACCCATGTGCAACAGTGTCTTGCACATTGCGAGAAAAGTTTATGCAGATCCAATTGGCAACAGTTCCTCCATTAACCATTTTCTGTCAGTAGTAAGTAAGGGATACTATTTTAGGCATAGCAAAACAAAGAAAAACAGCCTCACGACAACCGCCAGAATAGTGTATACTTGAAAATATACATCTGGTGTTTTCATTGAATAAAATTGATAAAAGCAAAATACAACACAGGTTTTCTACTGATGCACACCAATAGATGCAAATTAACTGAATAGAAACTAAAACAAAACAAAAGACAGAAAAGTTAAAACGTGTCAAAAGCAGCACCTACCTTGTTCATCATGTTCCATTGGCCAACTTGTGGCAGACAATCTTTTTCTCGGCCATTATCGTGATATTTAAGCTGCAGAAAATACACACTCATTATCCAATCCTAACTGAAACTCCTCCACTCCACAAATTGAACTGTAGAAAGAATGGTATGTCCAGGGGTTGTAAAACCATCCCCCCCCCTCAAACCATGAAGAGCCTAACTTACCCAAGGTGGAGGCAAAATACGAGCCTCAACTTGTGCCAACTTGTCGCTAATCTTAATGCCAAACTCCTTCGCATATTTGTCCTCAGCATAGGCATTATGCTTCACAGTCTGACAGAGAAAGGAAAATAAATAGAAGTGAATTTTCATCACAAACATATTATTGTCATGAACTGATTATAAATTTTCGTAATAAACCAAGACACAGCGATCAGAAATTATTTTCCAAGCTCTAACACAACATATGACGATTCAATGGCCTTAAAGAAATCTTCTTTCGACGATCATGACAAATGCGTAGCCTAAAGGAGATCTAACATTATTTATCACATAGATAATAAGAACGAAACAACAGGACATTAAATTCCTCAACTACATAACCACCCGTGCAGCTATAAATCACAAAAGTATATTAGATACTCATAGTCAAGTTCTCTTTTTTCCACCAACTCATCATATTGACGCATTATATCACTCCTAAAAACATACAAACCAACATGCATTTCATACCAGAACAAATACACCAATTAACATGAAGTCAGCAACATAGAAACAGAATACCAAGCACCAATAACAATTAATTTAAACACACATCAGTCACCGAAGAATATATATCAAAATATAAAGCAGACAATCAATTACTCAACTACACCACAATCCAAATAAATGTTCCACAAACATATAAATAAACAAAAGAGGCAAAGATCTAACCTCAAGAATATCACGCTCCCTTTCTTGGGGGCGCTGGCAGGTCACTTTCAGAAGTGCAGTTATCTGTTTCTCATTCAAGCGCTTTGAGTACCTTTGTCCCTCTACAATCTTGCAGACCTGCACCATGATATATGTTTAGCTTGAAGAATTGATAATATAATCAAAGATGGCTAGTTTTCAGAGAGAGAGGCACTAACTTCCATTGGTAAGTAATTAGGTCTCTGCTGATTTCCAACTTGCAGACAAGGCCACTGGGTATGCTGAATAACAAACCCATAAGTTTCTCGAAAATATTCAATTACAGATTTCAAAGTGCCCTTTTCATCAACAGGGAAACTACCACAAAACAAAGGATAAAACAAAGAAAAAAACAAGGATCAGCACCAAGAAAAATCGAAGATGATCTTATAGAAAGGCAGAATGCAGAAACACCACTGCTTGCAGCTACACATAATATGACTTTATACAACAGTTATCAAAAAACTAAAACTAAGCCCACATACGTTAACTCTCTTGTTGCTTGAGATGTTAAATTGGCGATGCGGTACTTCCGCCGCATATTTCCACGATGAGTAACCTCCACCTTCACACCTCTCAGTGCTTTTTTGATCTGCAGCTCAGCTCAACATCATTAATTACAATGTCGGATAAAAAACATTAATCACGAAGCATGACCAACGTAACACAACACAACCTGGAACAAGCTATAACTAGATGAAAAGGAAGACAAACATCAAAACAATAATCAGAACTTCAGAACATTCTACTAACAAAAAAATACAAAAGTTCACCTTTACACGGTCAGCATCAGACAGTGGTCTAGATGACACATCCCGGTTCAGAAGCTGTGCCACAAAATCAACGACCAGCAATGGCTCAATGAAGGAAGTGGAAGACATGTCTGTACATTGATGCACAAGATCAAACATATGATTATTATAAAAGCTGTAGGGCATTTTCAGAAGTAAAATTTCAAAGAAAATAGAAAACAACTCAGCTCCAGAAAAAGTCAAGACTCCACATACCGATGTTCAATGATAATCCCATTTGTGTAGGGCGAATACTTTGATAGAAACCCCGCCAGCTCTCTAAACCCTCTCCCAATGGTTGTCGTCTCCCTAAATTAGGAGAATAGAAAGAACGACCTACTGGACAATACCTGACATCCAACAAAGTATCGAAATATATAAAAATGATATTCACAAGTAAACATTTCTCTGTACATCATCATGACAATGAACCAAAACTACAGAAACATGTATTGCATTAAAAAAGAACATACTTAGATGTTGGCAACTCACGCAGCACAATATCCAGAACCTGCAGCGCCTCCTGGGGTGCATCAGCCTGCCTCCCTTCTAAAAACATCCCTAAGTGATGAAGATCGGCTCGGGAAGCGAATTTGATCACAACTTTGAATTCCCTATCCCTCCTGTTCCAATAAATAACCAAAAAGGCAAACATCAGATTTGCTAGAAACTGAACAAGCAACTAGTTGACACAGCAGCCATACATACCTGGCACCACCAGGCCCATCCTCATCATCAGTAAGAGTGATTTTGAACTCTTTTTGAACAAATGGAAGGGGCCCTGCAGTGTATAGACTTTTTCTTCCATCATAAGCTGGAAGTCTCTTTCCAAGATGAGATTCTTGGTAAAGAAGCACCAGCTGTGCCATGACAGCACGGTTGACCCCTCGTGAAGATACTTCTGGAGTAATGGTGACCTGAATAATGATTAACAATAGATATGACAAACCACAGGACCCATAACCCCAAACAAATGAAAAAACATTGGGACAATACAAAATATACCATGATAGAACAATACAATACAAAGTTAGAGCACTCACATCATACTGATGCAAGTCTTTGTCAGGCAGCTCAGCAAAGAAGTGATTGGCTTTCACTATGCAACTCTGACCAAACTTTCCCTTCCCTGGACGCAGCGGAAACCTTAGTGATTTGCTTGACACAGGTGGAATTGTATGGGTTGCAGCTGCTTCTGGCTGCACAGCCAGTTGCTGGAACTGTTGTGTCACTTGCAGAGCTGACATCTCAGGTGGCTCAGATGAGGAACCCACTTCCATGGATGTGTCAGCTGGTCTTCCACAAGTAATGGGCTGAGTAGTCATTACAGCTTGATGTTGAGTCTGTGTGGTTGCTTGGTGCAGCTCGGGAATTGGTGGCCTAGAAGGCCCACCAGAAGGTGCTCCACGGCCACCTATGCCACCATGTTGCTGGAGTGGTCCTCCACCTCGTTGTTGATGCTGCTGAGTCCCTCTGCCCTGCTGATAGTATTCAGCCTGTCCACCATATGGCTGTTGAGGGGCCATTCCACCACGTGGAGCTCCTCCACTACCACGGCCACCATACCCTCCCTGTTGTGGCCTCCAACCTCTTCCTCCACCTTGGTAACCACCTTCTTGTTGTAGCTGCTGTGGTGGACGCTGGCCACGACCCTGTCCACCACCTTGGTAGCCACCTTCTTGTTGTGACTGCTGGGGAGGAGGACGCATGCCGCGACCCTGTCCTCCACCTTGGTAGCCACCTTCATGTTGATGCTGCTGGGGTGGACGCTGGCCACGACCCTGCCCTCCACCTTGGTAGCCACCTAATTGTTGTTGATGCTGTGGTGGTGGACGCATGCCACGACCCTGTCCTCCACCTTGGTATCCACCTTCTTGTTGCTGCTGGGGTGGATACTGGCCACGACCCTGTCCCCCAACAGTTTCTTGAGACCCAGAGCTCTCACCTGAACCAGGTAACTCACTTCTCCTCTTCCTCGCCATCTTATCACCTACAGATATCAAACAACAATGATCGAAAACAACATTTAATCATGTTAAACAGAGAGCAACCACATATCTTCAAAACTTTAATGCCTATACAACCAATGTCCTCCTAACAAAAAAAAATACCAACATCAAAACCTAAAGAAGCTACATACATGTCTATCAAAAACACGAAGTGTACAAAAAAGGAAATAAAAAAAAAACTAGCAAAAAGTTCACCCTATCTCTAACCTAAAACTTAAATACATTTGTAAAAACACAAACAGCAACGCTAGCGACTAAACGTGAAAACCTAAAAGATCTGATCATGAAGCAAACTCAACAACAACAGCAGCAATGAAAAACTCACCGAGTAAAACTCACAACAAAAACCCCGGATCGACGAAAAAACTAACCCAAATACACAACGAGAACAGATCTATCCAACCAAAACACCACAAACTAAGCACAAACACAAACAGAAGTAACCTAACAGCAGAAACAGAAAAGCAAACAGTAAAACCTAAAAACCCTAATCCGATCGTTACCTCAAAAGACGTCGCCGCCGTAAAAGCCAAATTCCGTTCTCTCCAGTAAACCACAGCACCCAAAACGTACACAGAAAATTAATAGAAAAAAAAACGGCAGAAAAAGTACTGAGAGAGAGCTAGAGAGAGAAAAGGAGTGAGGGGTGAAGACTGTGATTTGTAGAGAGAGAAAATCTATAAACAAATGAATATTGTGGTGAGACTGTGTGTTATATAGCAAGGGTAGGTCGTTGAAAATGACAACTTAGCCCCTACTATGTCCTTTTTGTTTGGACGCGAGTCCAGCTCGGATGCTGATGTGGACATATCACGGACGTTGACTGGCTTGTAACAAGCTGGATGATGATGTGGATTATTAATCATATTAAATGCATTCTTTAATTAATTATAATTAAATTAATAGGGTTTAGCAAACGAGGAGTTATAATAATAATACTCTATTGTAGCTTTATTTTGTTTTTTCGTATTTGTTGTTTTGCTTTATTTTATTTGATTTACTGTAAATATATTTTGTTTGGATTTTTTTTCAATCGGTATTGTGTGTGGGATTGATGGAGTATTAAGTTATTAGAGCATATTACTATTTTTATTAGGTTGTTATTAAGTATGGTATATTTTAGCTAATCTCATATTCGATAATCGATAGTAAATATAGATATTAAATATAAAATTTTTAAACTTTGATTTCGATAATCTATAGTTAAAAGATGATATTAAATATTGAATTCTCAAATTTTGATTTGGCTATATGTTAGTCGGTAATATTGTACTGAAGTTAGAGTCAACTATATTATAAATTTAACAGGTTGCTCTAATTATTTATATTTTTTGACGTGAAGACACGATATAATTGAAGATCTATAAGTAAGAAGATAACAATAAAAGAAAAACTAATTAACATAACTAGAAGATATTGAGCCAAGAAATTAGATTTAGTGCCACCCGAACCAAGTAAATGGAAAACAAATGCACCCTAAAGCCGTGATATTTGAACCGAGAAATTAAATTCGGTGCACCCCAACCAATTAAGTGGAAAAACAATGCACCCTAAAATGGTGATATTTGAGCCCATAAAATAGATACGGTGTAATTAATTAAATCGAGAATCAATACACCCTAAAACAATGATATTATAGTCAAATAAATTAGATGTGCCCCAACCAACTAAATGGTGAACCAATGCACCCTCAAATGATACTAATATCTCGTATTGAATTAAAACATACATATCGTAATTCTAAATTTTACTTTCATATATATACGGTATCTTATATTAAATACAAAATTATCAAAATTCTTCATTTGATTTTATAATTCTTCTTACTTTAATTAGATTACCAATTAATATCTATCTATATAATTATTTTCTAAGTATTTAGATTATGTAAATATAACTCATAGCATCACTAAATAAATTTTACTCTAATAACTTGCTCTGATAACTTGTAAGGTTGTGATTAATGAATTACAATCATTAGATTTTTGCCACAATAAATTTTAACTCTTTATTGTTTATTACTTTCATGATTATCTATCAAAAAAATATATTTTGTTCATATTTTAATCGATTTCAACATGTTACGTGAACATCAAAATCGTTTTAGAGTTTTATAAATATATTTCTAACAGCAAAACAAAAGCCAACTCGTAACAAAACTAAAAGCAATATCCCAAAACTAAATCCAAATACTCGTTAAAATTAAAAGAAAAAAGAATTATTATAATATTTTGTGTAATTATTTGTTATTTGACTTGTACTATTCATATATTCTCTCTCTATATTTGATGATTCTAATGGAGTTCATGGAGTAGTATTTTTGTGAGGTTAGTGGAGTGATGACGTGATGAATGGGTTAGTGGACTTATTTATTTTATATTTTCTTGATCATGTTAAGGCCCCGTTTGGATTTATTTATGGTTAAGTGTAAATGGTAGTTACGATTTAATTATATGTATTCTTGTGAGTTCTTTGAATTTAGCGTCTGTGATAGTCTTTTGACTTTAGACATATTGATGTGTTACGTTTATATATATGTGTTTTAATATATAAGGTCAAAATTAAATGTAATTTATTTCAGATACAACAATTTGTCTATGAGGATTTGAGTGTGTCTAGGATGCGTTGACTCTCTCGCTGTATTTCTATGTTTCATAATGTGTCTGGAATGTATTTGATATCATAGATAATGTATTTAGTGTGATTTGTATGTATTTGGGACTCTATCTCTCGCTTGTCTCTCTTTCCTCTGTTCTCGCCTCTCTCACTACGTAGTTGTATTCCAGAGTTTATAAGGCATATATATATAGATATTATAATTTGAGAATATGATCTAAAGCTATTAATTAGTAAGACAATATGTGATTTGGAAAACTAATTCTACCTATAATATGAATGTTTATGTAATTAAATAATTTTTCTCTGTTTAAAAATAATTTCAAGATAAAATTATTTTAGCTTGTTTATAGTGTTTAAAAAAATAAAAAATAAAAACTTAAAAGCCACTTAAAATTAGTTTATTTGTGTTTACACACTTGTCTTTTTTCATTTATTTATTTTTAATACAAAGAAAACAAATTCCTAAGTATATATATTTTAAGGACAAGCAATATTGGACTAGACTATTCTTTGAATAGATATTCTAGATAAGTTTTTTAAAAAGATATAAAGTGCTCGAAAATGATTAAAGTAGTTTGAATCGGACAATTATTATAACTATACCCTTGGGTAAATTTATTAGAAGTGAGAGAATCTTTGAAAGAACTATTGATATCTTTAACTTTAGAGACTACTTTCTTAGTCATTGCTAAAATATATTTTTTTTCTAATTTAGAAATATAGATTAAAGTGATCTTCACCTTGAAGAAAGGTTGACTAATGTTTGTCTTAAAAAATTCTGATTAATATTACAAAATATTTTTTAAAAACAATTTAATTTTTAGTAATATTATCAAACAAGCTCTTAATATTAGAACTCGTCTGAACGTGAACTTTTTCTCTTTAAATAAAATTAAATTTGATTAAAAATTTTACTTATTTTTTTTAAAAAAATTTAAAAATTTAAGATAAGTTTTAAGTTTGAAGAAAAATTGTCTTGACTAGTTTTTAAGAGAATGCATTTTATAAAAGTTAATTGCATGTTTAAATACAATTTTAATTTTAAAATATTTTTTCAAAATATGTCAAACGTCAAAAGTAATACATAAATAAAAATAGTATATGGTACATGAACATTTAATAAGGAGTACTGTAGTGTGTATCATTTGGCTCTTAGCACATATTAATAAGTAATTGCTCTTAACTTTATGCAATGTGCCAAATAAAAACAATATCCAATCAAAGTAAAAGAAACCTTTTTTTTTAATGCATTAATGTTTGCCATAGAGGGTTAAATATATTAATTATTATTAACATCCTTTTTATAATAAGAAATGTCAGGTGGATATAGGTGTCTTTTGAAAGCAATAAGAGTGTCAACTAATTTAGATAAGGTGTGTATTTATTAAATATTTTAGTGGGACAATGATTTTAATTAGCAATAAAATAGGGGTTGGATGTTTTTTTTACATTTTTCTTTATTTTGCAAAGGTCCAAATTAGTTTTTGGGACACTAACATGACCATATAAGAATAAAATGAAATGGTTTAATTGTTTGTTCTTAATTTTAATTTTTAAATATCGTATTTTGAAGATAAGAAAATTTGAATTTATTTAAATTTAATTTTGTCAGATGAATAAATTTGAATATGTTAAGACACATTATAAATAAAATGAATGATGAATAATATATTATTATTAAATTTATTTTTGAAGATAAGAAAATTTTTGAATTTTATTTAATTTCGAATTTGTCAGAATAATAATAATAATACACATTAAAAAAAAAAGATGAACGATGAATAGTATATTATTATTGGATTTATTAAAGATGTTTGGTTAGAAAATAAAGCAAAAGTACACAAATAATACGTTTGATATTTTTAAATCTTAAATGCAACTCCCATTCATACATTACTAATTTTTTACTTATTACCCACTAACAAGACCTACTTTTATGTACTCATTAATTGTTGTATTATATACATACTTAATAGCCGTTATCATTTTTCTCGTGAATATATTATTGTCGATTATTACTTATTATTATTACATTCTTTTTTTGTCTAATCACTTTGATTTATTCAATATTCTAAAATTAGATTTTAATCAGGTTTAGTTTATTATAAATAAGTAAGTAAATTTTACCCTCAATATTAATTATATATTTTTCGGGTTAAATCAACTCCCATTTTTTATTATTCATATTTGTAATTATAGGAGTAATGAGATGATTGTAATTTGATAACTGTTTAACTTGAAAGATAATATATATACAATTATACTATTTAAATATAATTAGAGAAAATGTTATATTAGTGTGTGTATTTCATATATTAACATTCTGATTCTTTTTCTATTACTAAAAAGATAATCTAATTCATTCGATAAGTTGTGTTATTTTTATGAATATATAATTTGGTGAAAACTAAAATTATTTTGTGAGAACAATTTAGAAATGTTTAATCCTTATTTTTATGACTTTTTATTATTTCAACTAAGTATTTGTGTATTATCTCCATAAAAATATGTCGATGAAAAAATATTTTCTTAATTGTTATTGTTGTAGTTATTTACCTAATTTTGAACAATAATCAAAAAGAGAAATGATTGTTGGGTTTTGTTTTTCCTAAATTTCTTACCATAAATAGGTTTTTATTTTAGAAAAAGATTTTGGATTGACTAATCTTTTTCTGGTAGGAAAAAATTTAGGACTCTATAAATAAAGACACGTTTCTTCTAACTTAATGAGCATTCACAATGTAATCTTAATGCCTTTGAGAGTTTTGATTTGGAGGAAAATTTATGGGTCACAAGCTTGACACGCTATCACTTGTGTAAACCTCCAACGTATTTCGAGCAAATTGATTGAGGTTAATTCTCTCTATATTTTGTACTCTCATATTTATATTTGAGCTTCAGAAAAATTACTACATTGATCTATCTTAATCTTTTTGCTTATTAAGATTAGATCTATCACTATATGTCTGTACATAAAGCTACACTTAAAAGACAAGTAATGTGGCGGCATACCTTTAAAATTGAGAATAATATTTATCCTTTTTATTTTTTTAAATTTTTTTTGATATTTTTATTTATTTATTAATATATTAGAAAACCTAAAGTTGTTTCTTAATAAATTTTTTTACAGTTAGAAAAACTCAAAAGTCGTTATTATAAATTTAATAATAATTTATTGTGCAATAAAATACTAATATAAATAGAAAAAAGTTAAAGACACTTGAGAAAGTGAAAGATAAAGAGAGAGTATAGTTTCTAAGATTTTATTAATAGGTGATATTTAATATGTGATATGACACTTTCCCCTTTGCTCACACTTCAACCAAAATAATAACAGCTGAGGCATTACCTCAAAAACCTAATGAATTATGTTTGTGAGGAAGAATTATTTATATATAAATAATATAAAGAACTATATATAAATTTTGTAAAAATAATTACATTTTTATGTTAGTATGGTTTTTCATACTTATTATATTCATATTTTATTTTGATTTAAAAAAAATAATGACTATTAAATAGTGATAGGGTTGTGTGAGTGGATGTCAACGAGAGTTCAGATGATTATGATTAGTTTTATATTTTTTTCTTCTATTTTTGTGATTAAGATAGTAAGAAAGATGTTATATTATTTATTTTTTATACGCATTCTCTTTATTTTGTGTTTATATGAATTTTTAAACTTTGTAGTTTGTGATTTTTTGGATCAAAAGAATTTATGACTCTGTAGAATGTAATATTTTTTCTTTACCTTTTCCTTCCTTAAAGATATTTAAATATTTATATTTTTTGGACGAATTTTCGATTACAAATCCTTTGTTTAAGCTTTAAATGACACTAAAATCTAAAGAATAATATTTAAGTCTCTTGAGTTTTTCATCTTTATTGTAATAGTTGGCTAATTTTTTTTAATTTTTTTTTTTGACGATTTCTCCTACTTCTCCATTTTTATCATAAAATAATCAAATATGATAGTTAACAATTCAATTATATTTTTTAATGTAAAACTTAATGACATTTGTTTTCATTACTTCACAATATTTTACTATCATAATTTTAAAAATAATTTAACAACTGTATTCATAAGATTTTATAAAAAAAGTAAATTAACATTTTATATTATTATACTTTTGACACATATTATATTTATACTTTAATTTGACTTGAAGAATAAGATGAAGACTATTGAATAGCGCATGACTTGTGGGAATGAATATCGACAAAAACTTAGAAGATAGTGCAATTTCTTCTATTTTTCATTGATTAAGGTCATAAGAATTATATTGTATTATTTATTTTATTTTATTATGCATATTTTTTCTTGATTTGTATTTATAAGATTATCTGATTAACGTAATTTTATTAAAAATAGTTCAAAATCACATTATATAACTTAGTTGGAAGTCTACACATTACCGATCAAGTGTTTTTCTCTATGAAATCAATATATGTTTGAATATCTTTATATGCACAACTCTTTTATTAATAACTTTTTATATATTTTATCATGTTTAATAACCACACAGGTATATACTAACTCAAAACGAAATGACAATTTACGTACCTAATGAAATGATATTGGAGTTTATATGTTCCCATACATCCAATTCACCTTCAAAGATCAAATACAATATAATTATCATGACATACCATTTGCAATGAAATTATGCTATGCTTATTATTTTAAAAATTGATAATATTGTAAAAGAATGTTATGAAATACATACTTAGTATCGATGCCATTATTGTAGAATTGAAAACAAAAAATTTTTGTAGTAAATTTGGCTTTGCACCCTTGTTCTTAATACTAGTGTCACCACATTAGGAAAATGTATAAAATATGGTAAATTGAATAGGAGGGACCAATTTATAGATTTTTAATATAATCTAGTATGTCCATTTAATATTTAAATGGACGGACTAAATTTATTCATTACGAAATGTTTTATGTTTTAACTTTATTTCACTAGTAACATATATTAATATTTTATTATCAATAAAAAGATTTTAAAGAGTTCAACTTAAATTGACTAATCGAATATATATTGCAAAAAAATTTGAATAATCGAATGTATTGTTGTGCTTCTTTATCAAATCTGTTTCTCAAGCCAAAGTTAAAGGGAGAGAAACCTTTTCCTTTTAAATATAATTCGAATTTTATTACGTCAGATTCAATCTTTTTCTTTAATTTTCTTATTTTTACTATACCACATTTTTGTATTGCATAAAATGTATAAGAATGTTTAACACTTGAATAGAGTGTAACAATTCAACAAGTTGAATATTAACTGCATCCTATATCAAAAGTTTTTCAAATTGCAATATTTCAATTTTTTTCAGAACTCACAAATATATTGCATTTTTGCATGATACATAACAAACTATACATAAATTATGTATTCGATATATAATATAACTATAAACCAGATCATACAAATTTAGGTTTAAAATAATTGATATTATGTATATTACATCAAAAATGATTATTAGAAGTTAATTGCCGCTAAATATGTACTTTTAGCGGCATTTAGCTAGCATTGTTTGTATATATTTCTAAAGTTTTTAGCGACATTAGTTTTAATGACAATTAACTAATACCGGTAAAAACTTTAGCATTTTTTATTAGTGTCAATATTTATTACAGCAAAAATTGTTTTTGTTGTAATGTATATCAATAATAACATTTGTACCAGATACATTGTACACAAACAAAGTTTGTAATGCATATGATAGAGGTGGAGTGATGCATCCGGATATTAAGAGAGAGAAAGGGAAAATAGAACTTTTGTAATTAATTCAAATGATAAAATTTTATCATTTTAAATAGTGTAATTACATAATTTATTTTTCTATTATTGAACATGTTCAAAACTCACTTTTTTTTGTTGGGCTGGTCAGCCTACCCAAAGCCCGGCTAACCAATAAACATTTTAGGGCTATGCCTTACAACATTTTATCCCCCAATTTCTATCTAGTTTATTAACATGATCGAAATATATAATAAATACACTTCAATTGCGTATGTTGTGTATATATATATAGAAAAATTTATACATATTGTGTATTCATAGGAAAATTATACATATTGTGTATATAAACTGTAGAAAAATAAATTATGTAATGAGTTTTGAACATTATACTTTATGAACATTGTTCAAATCTTATACTTATATGGTAGATTAAGTAATTTTAGCTATGAAGTATTTTTTATTCATTACAAAATTGTGTTTTTTTGGTAACTTTTTGTGAGGTTTATTATTATTATTATTATTAAAATAGCAAATAGTAAAAGGTTTATAAAAACTTCCTTGAGATGTTTATTTGTTTACTAAAAGTGTCTATATTTTAGAAGATTAGATACAATATATGCAGCCCAATGTGTGTATATATATATATTTTCATTTACAAGAAATGAAAAAGCGAATATTTGTTGAGAATTTGTCAATACATGACAAGCATGTTTAGTGATTTATGCATAACATAACCCGTTATTTTAATATATGGTAATTGGTAAAAAAAAGGGTAATTTTTTGTGGTTATATTATAATTTATTTTTGTATTTATAAAAAAATAATGATCGGGGTTATTTATGATAAATTTTATAAAAAAATGAGTGAAAAATTTAAATAGATGATCAAAATAAGAAATCCAAATGACCCGTTGAATTAAAGAAGTTAAAAAAAAACACCCTTCAACTTTGCTAGAAAAACAAATATATACCTAGTTTTTTTATTTAAATAAAATATCACAAAAAATGAATGTAAAATTTAACTTATTTATTCACTGATGTTTTGTTAGACAAAGAAGGTATAGTTAAGCCATTTATATAACAGTAGAGATATATGTGAGCTATTTCTATGTGATTTAAAAGGGAAAATGCACAAGTACCCCCTCAACCTATGCCCGAAATTTCAGAGACACACTTATACTATATTAAGGTCCTATTACCCCCTAAACTTATTTTATAAGTAATTTTCTACCCTTTTCGGCCTACGTAACACTAGCTTGAAAAAAAAATTCAATCAGCGTTGGGCCTACAAGATAATGCCACGTAGACCGAAAATGGGTAGAAAATTATTAATAAAATAAATTCAGGGGTAATAGAACCTTAGTATAGTATAAGTGTGTCTCTGAGATTTCGAGCATAGATTGAGAGGGTACTTGTGCATTATCCCAATTTAAAATACCAAAATTCAAAAACCTTTGGGACATGAAATAGTACTTTAAGACTGTTCATGTTCCTTTTTTTGACGATCGGAGCACAATGGCAACAATCTATCTCTATGGCCATGAAGATTGAAACCACAATATATTTAACTCTTTTTCTCATCTCATTTTTTTTTCCCAAAGTCAACTAGTAATAATTATAACAATATATCCACGCCATACACGTCCCTTATGCATGCAAAAAAACTTCATAATTTTACAGGATTTTCTAGTTATAAGAGGTCCTAAATTGTGCAGCATATTATAAATATATATATATATATATATATATTGTCTTCACTGAATTTTTTCAGTGAGAAGTTTTTGTCTCATAGATTTTTAAAATATAAAAAAATGAAGAAAATTAGGATGAGTCTCCAACTGATAGAAAATCTATAAATCTGACTGGAGCCTTTTTGGTTTGTGAAGAAATATTATTATTATTATTATCACAGCCATTTTCTTGTTCCACTTCTTCATCAGTGCCCCTTCTAATTGCAATATGATCTATCACTTCACTTTTATTTGAGCCTGCAGTATTATTATTATTCACTTGTAGAAAATCATAACACTCCACTTCTTCATTCTTATCTGCAATTTCCACACCTAAATTAGTCACATGGCCGTAAGCTGATAACACGTAAAATAATTTATACACTATCAAGTCATGCATGCATCGTCTAAATATAACTACAATAAATAACAATCCGTCATGACTTCATTTATGAGGTAGTAATAATTAAGGTCGATTTGCATTATATCCTCCCTAGACTTCATTTATAAGATTTCACTAGATATATATAAATATTCTATAGTCTCATCTTTAATATACTATTCCAATAATATTCTTCACTCCAGCCAGCACATGCACTAAACAATGTAGATTTTCATCTTCTATTGTTTTTTTGAGATAATGCACAATTACCCCCTCAACCTATGCTCGAAATCTCAGAGAGAGACTTATATTATACTAAGGTCCTATTACCCCTGAACTTATTTTATTAATAATTTTTTACCCATTTTTAGCCTACGTGGCACTATCTTGTGGGCCCAACGATGATTGACATTTATTTTTCAAACTAGTGCCACGTAGTCTAAAAAAGGGTAGAAAATTACTTATAAAATAAGTTCAGGGGTAATAGGACCTTAGTATATGTTACTTCAAGTAAGAAAATCAATCATTATCCTCAGGAAACTAGATAAAATATTTTCAAAACACTTTGACCAACCGATCGAACAGAGATAAATAGGTAAATAAAACAATGAATAGTTTACGTATACATACCTTGATCGATGTTGAATCGCCGAGGATTAATCATGTGGTTGAAATGAAGCTCTTTTGAATAAAAGGAATTATAAGTAGTACTGAATTGGTATTGTTGATGATCAATATAATTTTTTCTCATATTGTTATTGTGATGTTGTTTTTGGGCAGCTCTATTGGAATAAATCTTGGATCTTTCTCTACATTTTCTTGACATAATAACATGCCAATGATTTTTGACAGCATTATCAGTACGTCCAGGAAATAACCTAGCTATCATTGCCCATCTATTCCCATGAATTCTATGTGATGAAAGAAGTCTTTCTTCTTCCTCTTCTGTGAATGGACTTCTGTTTATTCTTGGATCCAATTGATTGTACCATCTCAACCTACAACTTTTCCCTGTCCAAAAATTTAATGAACATCATATTACATAAATATACCTCATTTGCATATCATGATATTAATACCTAAATCTTAAATTTTTTCATTATAATAGGTAATTAGGTGATCACTCTTGCTAATGTTAAAATGAAAGAATTTTCTCAGTGTATACAAGTTAAATCCATGGTCTTTTTTATATATATATATATATATATATATATATATATATATATATATATATATATATATATATATATATATATATA